ATATATATACATACACACACACAAACACAATACAAATATATAATATACAAAAATTCTGTGCATCTCCTGGGGGCTAAGCCCCCCTTGTCCTTAAAACCTAGTGACACCCCTGATTACTAGTACAGTACATCCTTAATTTTATCCCTAGCCAAAATATGACATTACACCATATTAAAACCCAGCTTTGGTCACCATAATACCAACTAGTCTTTACAAGGTAGATGTGAAGACCAGAAAAAAGCCTAACAAAGAAACAAAAACTATAAACACACAGAGAGACAAAAGAAGGCAATCACATTACTGCCTTCCATAAGGTAATAACAATAATAATATTACTAATAATTACATAAAACAAACTAATGAAAGATTTAAACTACCTAGCTAATCTGTTTTGTAATATATAATGCTATGTTCAACATAATCTATTTTAATATACATTTTTACTGATTTATGATGGTGTTCTTGCTAAGTTATTAAGCAAATAACTAAGAAATGGTAAGTGGCAATTTCAGAAACATAACTATACAATCCCATTCAGATTGGTGGGACAACTGTGTGTTTGTGTATGTTTTATTGTAGATCTAATCTGGATATTGGTGGAAAATGTTGGCTGTAAAAAAAAAAAACAGAAAAATAAGCTTTTCATTCATGATCAGGGAAAAACATTGGGACACAACAAGAAACTTAAGTGTAATGTTGATCTGAAAAACCTCACATCAATGGGCCAAATGAGCCACCCTTAGTGGGCCACTTCTGGCCTGTGGACCACCAGTTGAAAATCACTACCTTCTAGTTTCCACATAGCCTGAAGTGCGACTGTGCCACTTTTGGCTCCATGACAATAAATAACCAACGTCCTAATGAGAAACACATGGTGTCAGATGTGGTTGTTAGAGGTATTTGTGTCTATGTTTGTGACTAAAATGTTATCTGGAAGGAGAGAGAGTAAAGAGAGTAACATGAGACAGGAGCTACGGTCTTCTAAGTTTAGACCAGAGCCCTGGTAGGTTGCACATATGCTAGTTTGTTTGAGATAAAACGTCCTGCAGGGAGATTCCCACAGATTGCACAGCACGGTTTGTTACGCTGAAACAAACACTCTGAATTCAGACATTTTTTGTGGAGAAATCTGTTTTTATCTGCAGGACCTGATGAACTTTCATCTAATGAAACCTGAATGGGGACACACACAGACTTTAAGTCATTGTCATAAACTACTCCTTATGGACTTTGGATCTTTTTATCTCCATAATAAAACCAATAGTAAAAAAATAAAATAAAAAGACAAAATAAATTTCCATATGACAATCAATTCTCCCTGTTAAACTCACTGTGGGTAACTTTATGGTTTAAAGTGCAAAGTACAGCTGTGTTTACAAAAAGGAGTCAGTTTTGGACACAGCCTGAATTAAAAAAATATATAATAATAATAATCTTACCTCTGTGTTGCTGCCAGCCAGCCTTTCCGTTTCAATGCATTATTTGTGCTCTTTAAATCTCTGTTTTTCTTTGTCTGTATAGTTTCACCACAAAGCTGGTAAACTGCAAGTCATTTCAGCTGCTGACTGTCGTCATTCTCCTCTGTCAAAAGCACAGAAAGGCAAATAATAAAAAAAGAAGAGTGTATAAGTCAGTGAGTGGGCTTGTGTGTGTCTGTGTGTGTGTGTGTGTGTGTGTGCCTTTTTTGGAGGCTATCAAAGGCAGCGTGTCACTGACTGAGGAAGTTTTAGGCTCTAACTCCTCCCTACTTTTTTTTTCGTAGAAAGGATGGCACAGCCTACTTTCTCTCCACACACATGCACACATCCACACACACATCCTCCCCTCTATCAGAATCTGGAAACGTTTGAGTCAACAGGAGGACAGAAGCAGTGAAAAAGTCTGGTTATAAAACATGTTTTGCAGCAGGTCATGTGTTCTGTCATTTTCATTAGGCAGAAAAATCTACAGTGCATTTCCTTTTTCTGCGGCACCAGTCGTACCAGTTTGACTCGCCCCKAGTGATGACAGCAGATTACACTCAGCTGCTAAGTAGTTGGGTTCCCAGAATGGAATGCATTTACACAAACCTGTATCACAAGACACACTCACCTAATGTACTCAGATTACAGGAAGTGTGGTGAAATACCAGCTGGAATAAAAAGAAGGAGGGGGTTAAGAACCATCTACCTCCTTGTCATTTCATATTGAGCTGTGTTCTTCCATGTCTGACTGAGGGAAGAAAATTATCCTGAATTACTGATTTGGTTCTTTATCTTTTTTTTTGCCTGCAGCTGTTTCTGAGTTTCACTGTTAGCAGATAATCTTGTTTGGCATTGGACAAATTGTAATATGCAAAACCTAAGCATTGTAAATGCTTATTTTCTGGAGCTAACTTGATTCAAGATATCTGTCACCTTCGAAAACACAAAAAATTGATATAACTGTGTCAGTTTCACAGCTACTGATCTAAATGTTAGCATGGTAGTAGCTGAGACTGATCCCCAAYGCATCCAGAGAACTACCAGCTTGTGCAAGAACTTTTTTAAATTTTTGCAATTAGCTATTTGGAGTGAACTCTTCCTATATGTTAGCAAAATGTGTTATGAACCATTAGATGTGTTTTATTGAAATTTCCATCTACAACCGATTAACTTTTGGGGCCAAGTCATTGGAAGCTGAGCATATTTGCATCAATCAAAATAAAATTAGCTATGATTAGTAAATCATACAGATACCAAATTAAAATTTAGGGGCCATTCACAACACATACTCTGAGCATGGCATCTCACAATATCATGAGGTGTCATCTAAATGCTAAATCTAAATGTTAAATGTTACATCTAAATGTTAAGTGTTAAAAGTTAAATCTACATGCTAGATGTTAAATCTAAATGTTAAAAGTAAAATCTACATGTTAAATGTTATATCTAAAGGTTAATTGTTACATCTAAACGGTAAATGTTCTAAATGTTAAAAGTAAAATCTACATGCTAAATGTTAAATCTAAATGTTAAAAGATAAATCTACACATTAAGTGTTACACCTAAATGGTAAATGTTAAATCTAAATGTTGAAAATTAAATCTACATGCTAAATGTTAAATCTAAATGTTAAAAGATAAATCTACATGCTAAATGTTAAATCTAAATGTTTAAAGATAAATGTACATGCTAAATGTTAAATCTAAATGTTTAAAGATAAATACATGTTAAATGTTACATCTAAATGGTAAATGTTAAATCTAAATGTTAAAAGATAAATCTACATGCTAAATGTTAAATGTTACATCTAAATGGTAAATGTTACATCTAAATGGTAAATGTTAAATCTAAATGTTAAAAGATAAATCTACATGCTAAATGTTAAATGTTACATCTAAATGGTAAATGTTACATCTAAATGGTAAATGTTAAATCTAAATGTTAAAAGATAAATCTACATGCTAAATGTTAAATGTTACATCTAAATGGTAAATGTTACATCTAAATGGTAAATGTTAAATCTAAATGTTAAAAGATAAATCTACATGCTAAATGTTAAATGTTACATCT